CAAGCAGCATCATAGGAGCAGAGAGGCTGACGTTTCATCAGAAGGGTCTAGGCCCGAAACGTCAGCCTCTCTGCTCCTATGATGCTGCTTGGCCTGCTGTGTTCATCCAGCCCTGCACCTTGTTGTCTCGGATTCTCCAGCATCTGCAGTTCCTACTATCTCTGATTCCATTATGTGAGGCCACTTTTGGAATATTGCATTCATTTTGGGTCTTCCTCCTATAGGAAGGATGAGGGGTGACCTTTATAGAAGTTTATAAAATCTCAAGGGGCATGGATAGGGTGAATAGTCGAGGTCTTTTCCCCAGGGTAGCGGAAATGAGACAGTATAGGTTTAAGGTGAGAGGGGAAAGATTTAAAAGAGACCTAAGGGGCAACATTATCTCACAGAGGATGGTGTGTGTGTGGAATGAGCTGCTGGAGGAGGTTGTGGAGGCCGGTACAATACAACATTTAAAAGGCATCTGGATGGGTACATGAATAGGAAGAGTTTAGAGGGATATGGGCCAAAAGCTGGCAAATGGGACTAGATTAATTTAGGATACCTGGTCAACATGGATGAGTTGGACTGAAAGATCTGTTTCCATGCTGTACAGTTCTATGACTCTCTGCGTAAGGTTTTCGTAGATGCCTGTGTGGGAGAGAGTGAGAGAAATGTGGGATAATGTACCAAAGATGTAGTAGGAATTGCTTAACCTTGGAGGTCTGTGTTTTACCTTCTCCTGTTTTTACCTTATGTTTTATTGATACTCTCACTGGTTAGATTTCCTGCCTTGCATCATCCAAGCAAGTCAAAGATTTGTACTTTCTGAAGTTCTTCCATTTGTATTTGATTTTATTTAAGTATGCAGCAAAAAAAAAGGTCTTGAGATGTTTTAAATTAAAAGTACAATGGTTTAGGGAATAGAATGACAGACAAGTGCCTATCCTGTAGCTTAGCATGCAGTTCTGAACAGAAGAAGTAGAAACAGAAGGAAGGCATTTCGTCCCTTGAGCTGCTTTGTCATTCAATAAGATCATGGCTGGTCTGATTGAGGCCTTAACTCCACTTACCTGCATGCCTGCCATAACCCATTGGCTCCTTCATATGTCTCAGCCTTGAATATATTCAATACCCAACACCCACTGCTTTGTGGGATAAAGAATTCCAAAGATTAATGAAGCTGTGAGAGAAGAGCTTCTATCTCATCTCTATTTTAAATGGGAAACTGTGTATTTTGGAGCTGTGGCCCCATTTCCAGATTTCTTCCCATGAGGGGCAACACCTTCTCAGCATCTACACCATTGAGCCCCATACACGAATCTTGTATGTTACAATAAATTCATCTCTAATTCTTCTAAATTCTGATGCATGTAGGCCAAACCTGCTCAATCTTTCTTAATAAAACAACGGTTTGATCTGTTTTTCTTGGAGAAGAGAAGGTTAAGAAGAGACCTGATTGGTGTCTTTAAAATAAGAGAAGTCATAATAGAGTAGATCAAGAAACAAAATGTTTCCATCGGTGGAAGTTTCAAGAAACAAAGGACACAGATTTAAGATATTTAGCAAAAGAAGCAATGGCAATGTGAGAAAAATATTAAAAAGTGAGTGATTAGGATCTGGAATGCACTACCCAAGAGTATGGTTAGAGACAGATGCAAATTTCAGTCGAGACATGCTAAAAAGAATCGGATTAGTTCTGGCAAGATTTCTGTAAACGCCAATCCTTCTTTCCTTCCTAATCACTTGCTTTACTTGCATGCCAGTTTTTTGTTATTAACGTGTGTGAACCCTAGTTCCCTGTGTCCCACAGCATCCTACAGCTTGTTTTTTATTTAAATAATATTCTGTTTTGCAATTCATCCTCCCAACGTGACAACTTTACATTT